AAACCCAACCGGCAGCGCGCGCGTCTGGCGCGTCAGCGAGCCGGGGAGCTCAGCTGTGAAGTCGTGCCCTGCAGGGACCCTCCGCCACAGTCACCGGCGTGGACACGCAGGAAATCGAGTCCCCATGTGCTGGCTCTGGCTGAGCTGGAGTTCATTTTGCCCTCACAGTGGCTGGAAGGGGGTTTATAACACCCCGGTGTTTTGGCTACTGCTCAGCAGGGCTCGCAGCATCAAGGATACCTTCGACATTCCCCCCTCACCAGGAGGCCGGTGGTGGGCATGATCCTGGGAGGGACTGCCAGGACAGCTGCCCCAAACTGACCAAAGGGATACTCCATACCACATAAAAGCCCAGAGAAAGGAGGAAGTGGGGTGGATATTTGTTATTATGACATTTGCCTTCCGGAGCAGCCACTATGCGTGTACTGAAGCCCTCCTTCCTGGGAAGCGGCTGGACATCGCCTGCTGATGGGAAGTAGAGAATAAATCTTTTGTTTCCCTTTGTTTCTGCACATGACCTTTGCTTTTGCTTTATTAAACTGCCTTTATCTTGACCCATGAGGGTTTTTTCCATCCTAGGGTCTCCCATCCCATCCTGCTGAGGAGGGGAGTGAGAGAGTGGTTTGGTGGGCACCCGGGGTCACAGAATCCCAGAATGGTTTGGGTTGGAAGGGACCTTCAAAGACCATCCAGTCCCACCCCTGCCATGGGCAGGGACACCTTCCAGTAGTCCAGGTTGCTCCAAGCCCTGTCCAACCTGGCCTTGGACACTTCCAGGGATGGGGCAGCCACAGCTTCTCTGGGCAACCTGTGCCAGGGCCTCACCACCCTCCAAGTAAATTATTTCTTTCTTATATTTAATCTAAACCTTCCCTTTTTCTAGTTTAAAACCACTGCCCCTCGTCCTGTCACTAAAGGCCCCAGACTGAAGTTTCTCTCCATCTTGCAGTCAGAAAGATGGACTCCCAGAGAAAAGAAGTAGAGGCACCACCCAACTTTCAAACTTTGGTCTCAAGATGTAAATTTTAGGTGACTTTCCAGCCAAGCTCAGCCCATCACACCCCTTGATGCTCCCAAGGAGGCTGGGAAGTCATTTGGTGCAGACAGACAGCCCTGCAGACAGAAAACAGGACTGGATGGAAGGCAGCTCCTAATGGAATATGACTGCTGTGCTTTCTGGCTTTAGAAGGAAGGGCCTGAGATGTGCTTTGGAGACACAGTAGCCCCAACTCTTCTCCAAGGTGGGTAAGAGCTGGTGGCCCACCACAAAGCTCTGCCCGCTGGGCCCCAGCACATCCAGCAAAGGGACTGCTGCCCACAATCTGTTATTTACACTCCTGACTCACTCCTTCCCTTTCCCCTGAAACAGAAAAGTATTTACAGTCAAACTTGAATTCCCCTGAATGTCTCCAGGAGCCACGTGAGCTGAAAGGTCAATCCTCAGAGTCAGGAAACCAGGTCCTCGTGCTAAGAACCCCTCAGCCCTTCCCAACTACTCCTCGGGCATGGGGTGAAGGAACCCGTAAAATATCCCTGCAAAACCTTGGATACAGGGCAGAGGGCTTCTGCTTCGGATGTTTTAGGGAGGTCTGACCTGCAGCAATGCAACAGGTTGAGACAACAAGCCTTAGCCACAAAGGTTTCTCCTGGCAAAGTCAAGTCACCACCAGATGTGGTCTGCACATGGTTGTAGCTGCACCTCACCCCCTCTTCTCCTACACAGTCTTAAAATACCACATGATTATTAAGTAAAGCAGCCAGCACCAGCCTTCCCCTTCTCCACTGGGATTAACAAAGCAGGAACAGCCCATGCCTGCAGGACATGCTGGGGTGACAAGTCCCTCCATCCCCTGTCCGGTGGGGAACCCTCCAGGAACCAACATCCTCTGAGGCACTTTACAAAAATGACATGAAGAGGGGAAGGGCTCAAACTCACACCTTGGATTCCTCGAACAAACCTAAAGTTTGGGCTGCTGGAGAGAGGATATATCACCTGGAAGGGACAACACCTGGATGCATTTAAGCCTTAATATGTGTCTAAAGTGTCAAGAGGAATGAGGGGGAACTGAGCAACAGGACAAGGGTCAGGTTGCATCTCCTGGCCCAGGGAAGAGCCCTGTAAGCACTTCTGAGCTCCTTAACATGGTCACCCTGCACTATGCCAGGGGATAACACCCCAAAGCCATTCAGAGCACTGAAGACTCTCAATTTTGTAGCAACACATGGCTCAATCACCAGTTCCAACCCAGCACAGAGGCCCCAAGAGCTGGGGAAGGGAAGTCAGGAGGTGCCCAGCTGTCACTCACAGCCCACACTGCATTCCTAAGAAGGAATTCCCCTTCTCAGAACAAAGATGTTTGTCCCTGGCACCTCAGAATTTTGCAGGGTCACCCTGATGCACCAATAAACTCACACTGGCAGGATGGGGGGAAGGAGGAAGCACTGAAAATTCCTGCTCTGCTTATCTCCCCCCTCCTCCTCTACATGGAAACTGGATGCTCCAAACCCTGTCCTGTTTAGGGGAGCCTGGAGATGTGTGTGGCTCATCCTGCCATCCCAGTTTGTACTACACAGCAGTGCAGGTTGTGTAAGAGCTATTCCTGTGTGGAAAAAAGCCTGTTTTGCTGCTCCTGAACAACATCCTGTGATCCAAGGCGGGACAGACAAGGCTGGGATTTGGACATGGAGCAGCAGCTCACGAGTGGAGGGAGCTGTACCAGCAACTTGGGAACTACATGCCAAGACAACATGAACAAGCAATGCTATCCCCATCAAAACCACGGAGAGGAGGCCAAGGAAAAGGACGTCCCAGGACTGCACTGCTGCCACAGCCCCTATCAGAGGTTAAGGTAAGCTAAGGTGTGGATTTTGGCATAATCGGCATCCCTGGAGCTCTGCAGAGCACCTTCCATCCCCAAGGACCCCTGCCAGACCTTCAGCCTCTCCTAAAATACACCCCTTAAACACGCACAGTTGCATAATATTCGTAACACCTAAGAACTCCCCGACAGAAATAACTTTTCCTGCAGCACAAACCAGCCCCAACTCCAGGCAAGGACGGCAGGAACAGCTTCCCCCGGGGCCGATGATGACGGAGGGTGCCCGTGGGAGGATGTCCCCGTGTCCCCCACCACGGACGCCCCCCCGGGAGCCGCTTCCCGATGCCCATTCTGGTGTTTTCCAGCGGCGGTTTCCCAACGCACACCCCGAGCAGGCAGGGCCGCAGGCCATTAGCCCCTCCTTTCTCCACCAGCTTCCGCACACAGATACTCCTGATTTCATCACTCTTTGCTCTCCGAGGCAGGAGGACTGAAAGCGCAGTGCAACAGCCCCGCACAGCTCGCTTAACACGCGCTGGGAGAGCCCTGGGAAAGAGGTTTCACGGCTGCGATCCCCCCATGGAGAGGCACCTTCCAGCTGAACGTGCCTGAAAATCATTCTGGGCAAAGCCAGGAAGGGATAAACCTCCATGGATCCAACCCCCTGCCCCGACTTCTTGTCTCCCAGACAAGCCTCCGGGTCTGAAGTGTTTGCACTCCTGCGCCTACACGAAAATAAAACACCCAGGAGGGGTTGTGAAAACGGGGATTTACCTGCCTACTCACGCTCACACCAAGCTGGGAAAGGGATGGGATATTTTTAGGAATACGGATCTGACCTCCTGGGGGTCTCTTGGACCCCTCCAGACCAGGACAGCGCACAGTTTACAACAGGCATCAGCTTAAAAAAGTTCCCAAAGCAAGATTTCCCTTAGCAAGCTGGAGTGCTCCGTAAGCACAAGAGCTGCCCTGAGTGTTATTGAACCACTAATGGTAATCGAGGAGCAAAATTTAAAAAAAAAAAAAAAAACAAAAAAAAACCAACAAAACCAAACCAAATCACCCTCCTCACCAGCTCCAGGCAAACATTTCGCCTGCCCTCTTGGCTTTATCAGCACGGACAGGACCGGGGCCAGCTCAACCCCTGCACTGCCAGGAGTGCGGAGCAGTTACATCACATCGCTGGTTTGGGGTAATTCGGTTGGCATGGATCCAGCTCCAGAAGTTTGGAAAACACTTTGTCAACAACACCCCCGCCCCGGCAGGCTGATGCTTTCCCAAGAGCAGGTGACTTTTCCAGCCCTGCTGCCCGTTATCCTTAATGCGGGAATCCTCCGGACGCTTTGCAGCAGAGGCAGCTGCCCACCCCGGTTCGCTGCAGAGGGGGAGGAAGGGGAGGCTGAAGCACCGGGAGATCTTTTTAAGTGACTTCTCCAAGGTTACAAAAGGCATCTGTGGCTGAGAGAGGAAGAGAACAACCCGGACGCTTCTGCCCTGAGTGTCAAAGCAAACCTGGTCCAAGCAGGGGATGGTCGGGGGTCACGGAGCATCTTCAGCCCCGCTCCCGGGCAGGGAGATGAGCGAGTCTGGGGGAGCAGAGGGGCTGAGGTGCTGCTGCCTGCCAGGCCCGGGACAGAGACCCAAGGTCGTGGGCAGAGGGGTGCCCACCCCAGCCCAGCAGGCCTGGAGGGGGTGTACAGGACGTTTAGGAGAATTTACCCTGGGATGTTTGCGGTAGTCATACCCCGAGATGCTCAAGAGGGTCTCTCCTTGGGATGCTCACAGGGGTCACTCCTTAGGATGCTCAGAGATGTCTGTCCTGTTCAGCTGGGAGGTCCTACCCTGGAATGCTTGAGGGGCCATCCCTGGGATGCTCAGGGGGTCTCTCTCCTTGGGATGCTCAGGGGGTCACTCCTTGGGATGCTCAGGGGGTCACTCCTTGGGATGCTTGGGGATGTCTGTCCCATTTGGCTGGGGGGTCCCACCCTGGGATGCTCAGGGGGTCCCTCCTTGGGATACCTGGGGCGTGACTGTTCCATTTGGCTGGGGGTCCCGCTCTGTGATGCTCGGGGGGGGGGGGGCGGTCCCTCCTTCAGACACTCGAGGCCCTGCTCCATGACACCGGGGGCCCCTCCCCAGCCGCCTTCCCCGTGACCCCCCCCCACGCCGCCGCCCACCTACCCAGCTTCATGAGGCAGGCCAGGAGGATCCATAGGGAGATCTCGAAGGGGATGCGGACGTGCGTGTAGTCGATGCCCAGCACGGGGAAGGCTTTGCGGGGCTTGTGGTGCCCCTCTCCCGAGCCGTTGGCCGGCTGCTCCTTGAGGGGGTGGATCACCTCGGGGGCCGCGGGGGGCGCGGGGGGGAAGCCCCCGATCTCTCCGGCGGGCAGCGGGGCGGGCTGGCCCGGCGAGGGCTCGGAGGTCACCATGGGGTTGGCCTGCAAGCCCTGCCTGGGCAGCAGCGGCCCCAGCAGCAGCAGCGCCCAGGGCAGGGCGCGCAGGGCCGCGGCGCCCATGGCGGCGGGCTCGGGGGGCTCTGAGGGGCTCTGGGGGGGCGGCCGCGCCGGCGGCTCGGGGCTGGGGCCGCCCGGGGCTGGGGCCGCCCCGCCGGTACCGGAGCGCAGCTCGGGGCGGCCGCGGCGCCGGGGCTCGGCCCAGCGAGCGGGGCGGGAGGGGCGGGCGGGAGGCGGCGCCGGCGGCGGAGGGAGGGAGGGAGGGAGGGGAAGGGGGGACGGGGAGAGCGGTGAGGGGGGTAACGGAGGGAGGGAGGGAGAGAGGGAGGGGAAGGGAAATGGCGGAGCACGGGGAGGGGGTGGGAGGTGGGGTGCAGGGGGGGACACGAATGGGGAGAGGGGATGATGGGCGTGTCAGGGGGAGAGGGAGGGGAAGGGAAGGGGAAAAGGAAAGGGCAGAAGATGGGGTGCAGGGGAAAGGGGGTACAGGACTGGGGAGAGGGAGAGTTGGGGGTGTCAGGGGGAGAGGGGGAGTTGGGGGTGTTGGGGGGAGAGGGAGTGAAAGGCAAAGGGAAAAGGAAGGGGGAGAAGATGGGGTGCAGGGGGGCAGGAACGGGGAGAGGAGGAGTTGAGAGTGTCGGTGGGAGAGGGAGAGGAAGGGAAATGGGGGAGCAAGGGGGGTAGGAGATGGAAAAGAGGATGTGGGGGTCAGGAATGGGGAGAGGGGGATTTGGGGGTGTCAGTGGGAGAGGGAGGGGAAAGGAAAGGAAAAGGGGTTCGTGGACGGGGGTGCAAAGGGAGGATCACGGGGAGTGGGAAGTGGGGTACAGGGGAGAGGGGGTGTGAGGGAGCAGGAATGGGGAGAGGGGAACTGGGGTGCTGATGGGAGAGCGAACGAAAGGGAGAAGGGGTGCACGGAGGGGGGTGCAAAGGGGAGGGCAGGGGGGAGTGTGGGCGCCTGGAGGTGAGGGGTGCAAAGCGGGGAGCAGAGAAATGGGAGGGAGCTAAGGCAAGGCTGGCACCGGGAGAGGAAAGGCAAGAAGGGATGCAGAGAGACTATGGGGGTGCAGGAATCAAAGGCACCCCAATGCAAGGGTGGGGAGGTGCCAAAGGAAAGAAGGAAAACGGGATCTGCGAGCAGGTGCCTGCTGCTGGAAGGGAGCAGAGAGGTGACACAGCACTGCACCGTGCCCAGCAGTGTGTGGGTGGCAGGGAGATGGAGGGCTGCACAGCCCAGGCACCCTGTGGGGAGTCAGACGGGGTTTGTGGGGCTGGCAGAGCACCTTGGCTTGTCAGGAAGAGCCCGGCAGCCACCTCTGTGTTTGCTCCTTGAAGAGGCACAGCCGTGGTCTGCGTATCACTGGGAGCAGGAGAGCTGCGGGGCGGTGGGGTTTGTGGGACACGGAGGGGTCTGATGGGCATTGGCTGCTATTCTGGCCCAGCCTGGAGCTGTAACCCCATCTGTGCTCGCTGGAACAGCCATGCCCTTCGCCCCGGTCACCAGCGGAGTCTGAGTCACCAGGAAATCTGATAAGGCTCCAATAAAACCACTGGAGTAGTGTTGAGGGGGGGTTGCTTGGCACTGTGTGGCCGGGCTCAGCCGCCCTGATTTCTTGGCTCTGCTCCCGACATCCTGAGTGTCATATGTGTGTGTGATTAGAACAGTCCAGACCAGTGGGAGTTTTGACCTGGTTTAGCTAAACTTCAGAAGCTAAGGGGCCTTTTGGTAAAGATGCAGTCCCTAGTCCTTGGGGGGGGCAATGTGTGGGGAAGGCACGGGCTCTTTTTCCATGACATGTGGCAGCTAAACCTCGAGCTTTGAAGGTTACGCCTGTTGGTTTGCATCGGTTACATTCTTAATTTAAGACGGCATCAGTTCCCAGAGCGCTGGTGCTTGGAAGGCTGCAGGGAATGCAGGCCTTCCCGGCAGGCAGGAGGGGAGCCCAGCAGCCCCTGCTGCAGCTCCTCGGTGGAAATCACCCCCAAACAGTGACCCATCAATTAAAGCGAATCATCAGCCCCAGCAGGAACCAGCTAGGTGTGTCAATTCCTCTCTTCCGCTTGGTTATGTGCTGGATATTCAAATTAATCTGTTTTAGCAATTAGGCAAGAAATCCTGAAGCGTTTCTCTTTTTGAAAGGGCTTAGTCATAACTGGGTGAGAAGCCTGAGCTGAGGCGATGCGGTTGGTACACTTTGGGTTGAGGCAGGACTGTGCACTGGCAGCGAGAGACTCGCTGAGGCGAAAACACGGGGGCTGGTTTGCTTTCAGAAACAGTTCCTGGAAGCTAAAACAGGTACAATGTTCCCATGAAATAACTGGGTCAGGTTTTTTCTACCTCCTCGTGCCTGGATCAGTTGGCAGCCAGGGTGGGTAGGGCTGGATCTTTCGGTACGTGGCTGTTGTGCGTTTGCCAGAGGGGGATGAAGCGTCAAAGGAAGTCCTTGCTGCTTTGGTAGCAGGTTCCCAACTGGCTGGAGACTGTTGAACTCTGCAAAAAAATCTGGTTGGTGCAGATTCTTGACAAGGAGGAAGAATTTCCATCCCTGGAGGTGTCCAAGGCCAGGTTGGACGGGGCCTGGAACAAGCTGGTCTAGTGGAAGGTGTCCCTGGATAGTCTTTACAGACCATCCAGCCCAAACCATTCAGTGATTCTGATTCTATATTCCTGCTTCCTTCGGATCAGGAGATGAAAACCTGGAGATACCCAGTTAAACCTGTGTTGCCAAGTTAATCCATCAGCACTGCAGCGCTCTGACAGTGGCAGATACCCCCATCAGAGCCTTGGGGCTGGACCTGCCTTGGGGCTTCATCAGTTCTTTGTGTCTTCTTTGTGTTAGGAGAGGACTCCAGTTACCTCCAGCTTGTCCTGGCCCAGCTGAGGTGCTCAGAGTGACTCCTGGAACACTATCCTTGCACTGGGAGAGAATGTAATTAGAATTAAGCTCCTTAGCCTGGGAAGGGCACAGGGTGTAAAAATTGAACTTTATGTGCATGTTGTGGGTTTTTTACACTGAATTTTCTTTTTTTTTTTCCCCTGCGTGTTGCATAGATTGAGGATAGAAAAGGAGACAGATTTATTGAAAGTGTTAAAAATGCCTTCTGAATTAAATTGTTTTCCTTCAAACATTGTAAAAAGGGGCAAGGCCAGCTCTCAGGCAGTTTTATTCCTTGCTCCCTGTAAATGTCCTTAAAACCCACGCCCTGTTTCATGAGGATACTTCCCCAGGTGCAGGAGCTGAAGTGCTGGGAGAACACCTTGTTTCCATTCCCCAACTTCGAAACTGCAGCAGGAAGCTTCAGTTCTGACATCCAGAACCAGCAAGTCCTCCTTGTCTCCAGCCCTGTTATTCCTGTCTGTCACCAGCTTGAAAAAAAATCAGGCTCCCGCGCCCCAATTTTCTCTCCATCAGCAAGAAAAACTTTCATGTCAAGGGCATCCAAAGCCTGCCTGATTTTCTCTGTGGAGCTTTAGATGCCCATGGGGATGGTATCTGAGAAGGGAAGATAAAACCCTTTTGTAAGGATGGTGGTGATGGATCCCAATTATTATTTGTTTAATTAAAAGACTCCGGACCGATGCAGAGGCAACAATTAACAATTATCTTCTGTAAAGAACTTTGACAACAGCTGAATAAGTTAATGCATTATGAGATGGAGACAAATCATTGCAGTCATTTACGAGGGTGGAGGTGTAAGGGAGAGTCCTCAGGCTTCCACATACTGTCTGATTTAAGGGGCTTTTCCTCCTTCTGTTGGAATAAGCAAGTAGCAATTTTCTTCTGTTGTGCAGCTGGGATTATCTGGGAGCCAGGGAATTAAGATCTAAATGAAAATTTATACTATTCATTACACTTTATTAATAGACCTTGGGGATGTTTAATTGTGGAAATAAATTATAGAGGGATGAATTGGTAAGTTTTGATTCGTTTTACGCACACCCCCTTTTTGGGAGGGTTCGTTGAGATAATTGGGACTAGAGGGGATACCAGCTTTGCCTTCATCCCAGGCCCGTCCCCACAGTCCGCAGGGCCAGCGAAGGACAAGGCAAAGGGAAGGGTTTTGCAAACACTGCCACCCCCTGGCTCTTCCCACGGAGTTTTATTTTCCAGAAAACCCCGAGCTTTGTGCTGCCTGGGCGAGCTGCTTCTCGCACACTTCCCTTCGACAAGTCGTGCTGGAAAGAGCAAACGCTGGGATGGGTTTTTCCACAGGGGCTTGGTCACAACTCGCTTCCCGTGGAGAGGTCAGAGAATCACAGAGTATCCTGAGGAGGCCACTGAGATGATCAGAGGGATGGAGCAGCTCTGCTGTGAGGAAAGGCTGAGGGAATTGGGATTGTTCAGCCTGGAGAAGACTACAGGGTGACCTAATTGTGGCCCTTCAGTACCTGAAGGGAGCTGACAGGAGAGATGGAGAGAAACTATTGACAAGGGACTGGAGTGACAGAACAAGGGAGAATGGCCTCAAACTAAAAGAGTAGGTTTAGATTAGATTTTAGGAAAAAATTCCTCCCTGTGAGGGTGTGAAGGCCCTGGCACAGGTTGCCCAGAGAAGCTGTGGCTGCCCCTGGATCCCTGGAAGTGCCCAAGGCCAGGTTGGACGGGGCTTGGAGCAACCTGGGGTAGTGGAAGGTGTCCCTGCCCACAGCAAGGGTGGAATTGTATATTCTTTAACATCCCTTCCAACCTGAACTGCTTTGGGATTGTATGATTCTCCTGACCTGAAAGGGACCCACAAGGATCACCCAAGTCCAACTCCAGGCCCTGCACAGACACCCCAACAATCCCACCCTGTCCAAACCCTCCTGGAGCTCTGGCAGCCTTGGGGCTGTGCCCACTGCCCTGGGGAGCCTGTTCAGTGCCCAACCACCCTCTGGGGGAAGAACGTTTCCCTGAGATCCAACCCGACCCTGCCCTGACACAGCTCCAGCCGTTCCCTGGGTCCTGTCCCTGCTCACACAGAGCAGAGATCGGAGCTGCCCCTCAGGAGGAATAGAACCATGGAATGGTTTGGGCTGGAAGGACCCTTAAAGCTCACCTCATTCTACCCCCTGCTATGGGCAGGGACACCTTCCACT